AGTAAACTTTTTTCTTTGCTTAAGTAAAGGTAAAATAAAATATATTAATATGTTTTCTGAGTTATGTTTTATCTGCACGCTAAAAAAAAATTTATTTAGTGGAACAAAAGTATAGTACAATTTTTCATGCAAAGGTACTCAATTAATCATTTTTGTGTCAATTTTCCTCCGCTGACCACTATGTAAGACTCTCCGATTTATTCATGGATTGTCAATTAAAGTTGCACAAGTTTAACAAATTTGCTATGTTAAACCCCAAAGTGATGTTTTACACACAAATTTTTTATATTAAAAATGAACGAATTGGAAGAATTGAAAATTTTGAAATCTGTATTGCGGATCTTTTATCACGTGATACTAATAAAGAGAATGCAACATGCTAAATCTATTTTTAAAACACGTGACTGTAAAAATTTATTGCATTTTTGATTGGGTTTTTTCCCAAATCTGTAGCTGTGGCGCAGAAAGTTGTAGGGACTAGGTGTCCTGCACCATATATTGCTTGTAGGGACGCCTCAAGTATTGTAGTTGTCAAATCATTCGTTTGTTTGAATTATTATCATTCTTTTATTATTTGAATTGTTATCATTTGAATTGTTATCATTTGTTTATTATTCGAATTGTGTATCATTCATTTATTATTCGAATTGTTATCTATCATTCGTTTATCATTCGAATTGACATCATTCGTTTATTATTATTATTCGAATTGACATCATTCGTTTATCATTCGAATTGACATCATTCGTTTATTATTATTATTCGAATTGTATCATTCGTTTATAATTCGAATTGACATCATTCGTTTATTGTTATTATTTGAATTATCATCATTCGTTTATCATTCGAATTGTATCATTTGTTTATATTATTATTCAAATTGTATCATTTGTTTATTATTTGAATTGTTATCATCATTCGTTTATTATTCGAATAGTTATCATTCGTTTATTCTTTGAATTATCATCATTCGTTTATTATTTGAATTGTTATCATTCGTTTATTCAAACTATTTGTTTTGCTTGAATTATTCATTTTATTTCATTTTTTATTGTTAGAATTGTTGTCATTCGTTTATTCGAACTATTTGTTTATTCATTTTATTCAAACCACTTGTTTATTTGTAATATTCGAATTATTCATTTTACTCAAATTATTCGTTTTATTCAAATTATTCAAATTATTTGTTTTATTTGAATTATTCGAATTATTATTATTTGTTTTATTTAAATTATTGATTGAATTATTTGTTTTATTTGTTTATTTGAATTATTCATTTATCTTTTTTGAATTATCAAATCATCATATTTTTATTCACAATGTAATTCAAATACTCAAATTCATAACGAGCAAAACAAATAATTTGAATAAACCCTTATTTGAATATCAAGCATATAGTTGTGTCTAGTGATTTTAATTTAGTTTGTCATATTTGGTGACTCCAATAACTCTGATCATACACTTGCAATATTTATTACAGTTTTACGACTTTAGGGTTCAGGTAAATTTAATTTTTTAATATTTTTTGTGATACATATTTGTGGCTGAAAAAAAAAAGTTATTTAAAAAAAAATTTTTTTTTTACAATTATACAAAAACCACAATGGAAAACATTTTGGATGAAAATAATCATCATGACAATACTTCTACTGACAAAAATGATGAATATTCTGATAAAAGAAAGGGATATTATGGGGAATGTCCAACATGCAATAGATATAATACTAATAATTCATGGTGTCAATCATGTAATCCAAAGCTATTAACTGAAGGATGGACTAGTGGCAATGAAACATTAGATAAGTTGATTAAAAGTACACAACTTAAAGCAACAAGATATAGTTATTATTCTTACCTTCAATGGATTCCTTACAATGGTTTAACAAGTATTGAAGAGATAGGTAAAGGTGGGTTTGCAACTATATACAAAGCTATTTGGTTAAATGGCAACAAAGAAATTCGTTGTTATTATGATAAAAAACAATAACTAGTTATGATAATAAGACTGTGGCATTAAAAAAAACTACATAATTCACAGAATATTTCTGATGCTCCTATTGTATATTAATAATAATTTTTATTGTATATAGTAATAACATTGTGTCAATATTTATTTGTTTTCTTCAAAAAATAGATCTAGAATCATTGTTATGCGACCATCAAAAAAAATCAACTGATGGTAATAAGTAATGATACTACCGCTATGAATGATAATTCTTTATTGTATATAATAATAACATTATGAGATCTATGGTTAAACGAGTCATTGTTACGCGTACTATTAATGATATATATAATAATAACATTGTGAGATTTATGGTTAAACGAATCATCGTTCACGTCATAAAGAGTTGATAAAATCAGGAACAGAATTGCCTGTCCTCAACACAGATCTAGCACTCACATGGGTGTAGAAGAATTGCCTGCCACACATGAGAATGAATCTGTGAAGATTGATGGCGGAATTGCCTGCCGAGTCTGCATGATTTTGCTTCTTGTTTTGGCTAGACATTGGCATTTTGAAAGATTTTTAACAAGTTTTTTTTTTAAATAATATATTTCAATAATAAATATAGTAAGTGATCATATATTATTGAACAAAAATATATATATACATCTGGATAATTAATTATAATTCCTAATGATGTGTAAGAACTAATGCAACGCGACATGGAATATAAACCTATTTATATAAATATATGTATATATTAACTCGTATATATTAACTATTTTGGATCAAATTAATATATAATAAAAATTATATTTATTTATATGTACCTTGATGAAATTTTTTCTTCCATTCCAAGGTTCGGGAGTTGAAAAATAAGGTATACTTTCATTTATTCTATCATGACCTCCAAATTTTTTATTATCCAAGTTTAATATAACGGTATATTTACCCGACCATTCTGTACCAACTTTATAATCAGAAAATGAATTTGTAGGATGGAAATTGAAAATCCATAACAAATTTCCTCGTTCGAACACTATAACCTTATCACTTTCATGCTTTGCTGAAATATATGCCTTCAAAAACAATTATTATTATTATTATTATTATTATTATTATTATTATTATTATTATTATTATTACTATTTAATTAATTAATTACCTGAGGTGAATCTAACCAATGATGTTTTTCTTCTAAATTTTGCATGGCTTTATCAAACTCATTCAAATATCTATATCTTAAATTTTTGTCATCAACGATATTCCATTGTCTTCTTGCATAATGATACGAATTATTATTTCCCTGGCGAGGAAAATCTAACCATTCTGGATGTCCAAATTCATTGCCTTCAAAATTAAGATATCCTTCACCTCCAAGTCCGTGAGTTAATAACCTGAATTGAATTAAATGAGTAATATAATAAATATTGTTTCAAAAAATAGAAATACTATCTACCTTATCATTTTATGTAATGCAATTCCACGATCAATAATTGGTGTACGAGGAGTCAAATCAGACATATTAGTATACATTTCTTTATCCATTAACCAGAAAGCAATTGTTTTATCACCAACAAGTGCTTGATCATGAGATTCAGCATATGCGATTGTCTTTTCCTTTTTTTAATTATTTATTTTATTTCCAAAGAAATTCAATTTATTTAAAAAAAATATATATAAATTATTAAAATAAACATAATAATATAAAATAAAAATTTACCATATGTCTTCTATTTATTAATGTCCAACAAATATCTCCAACATTCCAATCTTCATCACGTTGTTCTTTCAATAATTTAATCCACATATCAGGGATAGCCATAGCTAATCTATAATCAAACCCAGTACCACCTTCAGATATTGGACGACATAAACCAGGCATACCAGACACATCTTATGTAATGATAAATTAATTGTAAAATAAATAAATAAATTATTATGAAGATGTGGCATATTTTATATAAAATTACCTTCTGCTATTGTATTAATATTTGGATAAAGTTGGTGCAACGTATCATTTGCCTATTAAAAAATCAATATATACTTACTAATAGATATAGACTTTAAATTAAATTATAAAATATTCAGATTATAAAATTACCAGCATTAAATACGTAACAGCATCTTCATCCACACTATCACCAAAGTATTCATGATAGCCACCAGAAAATCCAGTTCCAATACCATGATGAGTGTACATCATACTGGTAACTCCATCAAATCTAAATCCATCAAACTTATACTCCTCCATAAAAAATCTAAGATTTGATAGTAAAAATCGAAGCACTTCCCAACTTCCATAATTAAACAAGCGACTATTTATAATAATAAATAGATATTTTTTAATAATATTAGTAGCAATATATTATTATACATTCATTTATATATTTTATATTTATGAATATAGTATTAATGATCATCCTAATTACCTATCCCAAAGCTCATGTCTTCCTTTCCCTCCTTCATGGAAGTAGCAATTATCTGAACCATCAAACATATTCAAGCCATCCAAAACATTTTTGCAAGCATGTGAATGAACTATGTCCAAGTATACAGTCAGACCAATTCCATGAGCAGTATCAATAAGATATTTTAATTCTTCAGGAGTTCCTGTTAATTAGAATGAAAAAAACATTCATAAAAATTATTAATATAATTATAATGACAATGATAAGAAATAATTTAAACACATACCATAACGACTGGAGATAGCATAAAAACTGGTAACTTGATATCCAAAAGATGCATAATATGCATGCTCCATGATAGCCATCAATTGAATAGTATTATAACCTAGATCTTTTATACGAGGTAATATATTATCTGCAAACTCTTTATAAGTCCCAATACGACCTTCAGGTGTTGATATACCAACTTATATATATGTGTGTGTGTATAAATGTATTAATATATATTGAGTAAAGTATTAAAATAAAATAAACAGACATACCATGTGCTTCATAAATTCTTAAACCTGATGGTTTTTTAGGTGAATTATTTTTCCATACATATTTGTTGGGAGGATTCCAAAAGATAGAATCATATGCTGCGCTAACAGATAAATCTTGAGTTACGCGTTTAATCCATGCTGGTAGTCGATAAATACGTTCATCATTTTGTGTAGTCATTGAAATCTTTAATATATATAAGTAGATTAATTAATGAATAATAATAATAATAATAATAATAATAATAATAATAATAATAATAATAATAATATAATAATAATAATTTCTTGATTTACCTTTATTTTAGTGTTATGTGGAATTGCTAGAGTACCATGATTTGGAGGAATCTCAATTTCCCAAACTCCAAAGTCATTTTTTCTCATTTGATGGGCATTAACATTCCAATTATCTAACACAAAAAAAAACTGATCAAATCAATAACAGTTGGAATAATTGGATGATTGTTGAATAATGAATGATCACATACTAAATTCACCAACTAAACTCGCAGTTTTTGCACTAGGTGCCCATTCTCTGTAGACAATAGTGTTGTTTGGAAGTACATTAAAACCAAATTTTTCATATCCACGCGTGAAATTTTCCATGCCACCCTCATGAGTATTTATATTGTCGATCCATCGTTTGTAATTTGAATATCTAATGATAATAATAATGATTTTCTAGATTTTTTGTAGGAATTTTTTTGTTGAATAATTAATTATTTTTTTTACCTTCTGTATATGGCCTGTTCAAAAGGTTTTAACCATGGATCAATTGTAATAATGTTGTTTTTCGGATCAATACGATTTCCTTGAATGGTAGTTTCTCCAGGTGCCATAATCTTGTAACTTTAGAATATATGTTGTGGTAGTTGTAATGATTTTTTTTCAAAATCATTCCAATATTAATATGGGAAAATTTTAAATATGACGATGACATCATAAAAAAAAGTACTACGCGTGCTATATGAAATCAGGCCACATATTAATATCAAAAATCATAGTAGCACAGTAACACACGGATTAGCAAAAATCAACAACTGTTGGCGCTACGAAAGAACAATCCATTCTCAATCGAGTTTATACTGTTGTTGTAATTTCATGGTTATCTATCACATTGAAAACATAAATTTTACAGATATGTAAGCCATTATCCTTTTAAGTTTGAAATTTATATTTTATTGGCTTTGGTATATATCTTTCTGATTAATTTTTTATGTAATGAAAAGAGCTGGCTGTCATAAAGCCCCAAATCCTTACCAGTTGTGTTAAAGGTTGTGCATTAGCTTTTGTATATATAGCTTTAATTTCAAATATTATCGTATTAGTATTTTATTTATTTGGTTTATATATAATATTAATATTAAGATAGAAAAGTTTTCAATTTGAAATTATTATTATATCAAACAGATTAATTCAATAAAAGAGTTCTATTAATGACCCTATAATATCAAGCTTAGTAAATAAATATTAAAATATTATTATTATAAATAGATGCAGTTAAAAGGTTCGAGGATGCTTATTATTTGTGCACTATTATTCACTGACAAATAATTGAAATAATTACGTTTGTTATGTCATCAATCGAGTTTGGACGTCTCCTTCCAGAGTACACTCACTCGTCAACATTATCAGTTCTAGGGAAAGATAAAAATAATGATCCTTGTGTTAAAACATGCATCCAGGCAATGTGTCAATTTTCTAGATTACGCATTAAAGATTATGGTGCATACAATGCAAGCAAAATATTGCAGAATATTGGTGCAAAACCATGGCGTGCTCGTTTGATTCGAACATGGCCTAATCAATTTCTAAAGGATGGCACACTCCCGATTTCAAGAAGAGGAAAACAGCAAAAAAATAAAAACTTTAATCCTTTATAAATTACTTGTGGAATACCTATGATCAAAAAAACGTAATGTTAATGATGTTAAAGATTTTAAAAAATACATTGAAGAAGAAATATTCCCTTCAATTAGAATCAAAGAAAAAGAAATAAGTGAAATAACTGTGTGTGTATGGCTGAGAAAACTTGGATAGAATCACCAAAAAATTTTCAAGATATCTACTTGGATGAACATGAAAGACCTGATGTGATACTTTGCTTGCAAGGGAAAAATTCTTGAAAAAATAAGTTCCTTTGAAAAATTGATGCCCACCCTAGCAAAGGACGACATCACGGTTCTTAATGAACCAATACTTGCACCTGGAGGAAATAGTAATCCATGATGAATATATCTTCTATGCCAATGATGGCAAAAAAACCTATTGAGACCAATAAAACATGTCCCTTTAAGAAAAAAAGGAACGAGTTTAATCTTCACGTTAGTGATTTTTAACTGGGGCAAGAGGACGATTAAAATTAAAGAAGAAGCAGCCTGTGGAAGATCTTGTTGAACAGGTCGAAAACAAAGCAATCACCGTTTTTAAAAATGCTTTCCGGATGCAGTTGGTGCTTTTTCATTTGACAATGTTACCAGCCATTCATGCTTTGCTAATGATGCTTTAATTACTACCTGAATGAACCTCAAACCTGGTGGTAGTGATAAATATACCTTTAGAGATGGCATTTTACCTAACGGACAACCTCAACAAACATGACTTAGCCTTTTATTATTGTTTCATCCTTTCCTTGTGCATGGATGCCTTTTCCCCACCATCCATTACAATGCTTATTCAATACATTTGATATTATCATTGACATGACAGTCAGAAGATTAATTTTGCCGATTATCTGGTGTAAAGTACCAACTTTGCGATAAAAAACTCTTGCGTGGAGCTATTACAAAGTCACCTTACCTATATATATATTTCAGGACTCATTGAAACAGTTAACACAATTCAAATTGAATGTGATTAAATAATTTTTTGTTACAATTTAAAGAAAGACTTTACATGCAGATGACACCCTGATCATTTGCCTTCTGACGAATCTTTCAGAAACTTGCTAAAAAAATTTAAATATGATGTATTATAATTTTAATTAATTTCATTAACGATTTTATAATATTTTTTTCACCGCTGAAATTCATTGTCCCCTGAATTCTAGCTAATTCTTTTTATTGACCGTTTTTTTAATTAATTCTATTTTTGATTGTTTTTTCTGATTAAATGGACGGAAAAATGATGTGTTTAAACGCAGCAGGAATAAGATTCTGCCGGATTTTTATTTATTTCGCCGCAGAAATTCATCGTCACTATTATTATTGGAACAATAATTTTTCCGTCAAAGGAGACTGATTCCCATTATAACGACACATGTTCTAAATAGAAAATTTTCCAAGTTAATTGTTTACTTCTTTGGTGTATTCCAAGAATTGTTTCTTTGGAATGATTAAATGCGTGTTAACAGTAATATTAAATTATAGATTTAATTTTTTTAAAAAATTAATTCCATGATAAAACGCATTGAGGTTTGCAAAGAAATAATACGCGAGAAAGATTTTTTTAAGTGAAAGGGTTGAACAGAAAGAGAAAAAAGTTATAGATACAAGTTGCCGGGTTACCAGAATGTCTGTCTCTTTAAAAATATTTATCAACCCGAGTAGGGTGTAAATGGAAAATTTAATTATATCAAAGATGATTGACTATAACACGTTATGTTCATGCTACATTGATTTTGATTTTGCTGACAGTATATTATGCAATGAAAATTCCAAACCTATCATCTTATCATTAATATATATTAATATACATAATTATATTTTTTTCCTTTTAAATTTATTGGGACATGTAAATTTCTTCTAGAAGTTTATCAAAGAAATTGATTTATTACTTTTTTTAGAAATAAATTTAGAATTCATGCATAGAACGGAAAATTTATGAGCAACGATTGCAAACAAATTTTTTTACTAGTATTAGGCATCAATGGTATTTAATACCCGAATAATTGGTCAAATCAAAATATAGTCATTGAATAAAGGAATCTGGTTACACTGTGCCACTTGCGTTTATGTATTTATATATCTTTCGTTTTTACATTTGTTTTAAAAAACATGGACGATGTTGTTATTACGATATTTGAAAAGATTTCAAATCTTGCAGCCAAAGCTTACGAAGCTTATAAACACGTAAAATACTTTAAAAAATTCTCCACAGAGATATATGATAGAATAGAAGCAGGAGCGCATCATTTTAAATATCTGCAAAGACATGAGAAAAAAATCAAAGAAAAATTTAGGGATCAAGATTCTATTACCAACCTTCAACGTTACGTCATTGCAGTGACTAGTCTTACAAATTTGCTTGTTGAATTTTCAGAATTACACCAATTAAAGAAATACTTGAATTCGTTAAATTATAAAGACAAAATTATTGAAAAAATAAAAAGATACGATGAAACCATCCGTGATTTAAATCTGGAGGTCAGTCTAGAGAATCTTGAATCAGTTGAAAACTTGTATCTACTAGTTGAAGAAGGATTTAATGATGTATCCCAGGTAACAATAGAAACAACAACAATAATGATCATATATATATATATATATTTTTTTAATAAATGAATTTATTCTAATTTATCATTGGTTGTTTCAATAGACAATGGTGTCGATGAAAAATAATATGGACAATCTAGGAAATAATATGGAGTTTTTAATGGAGATGGTTGCTGGGGTTAACAAAAGTATTAAAGAATTAAGCAAAAAATCAGATCAATCTGATTTTAAGAAAAATGAATTCTCAGATAAAGTTTTTGATGGTTATAAATTAACAGATCCACCATCAGGTGAGGATTCAAGACGTGGTAAAGTTTTTAAAAAGTTATTTAATAGAGTTCAACCAGTTGCTTGTAAACCATTTGAAGCTTCAACAAATGAAAAGGAAAAGGAACTATTCAATGGATACTTGACAATCTTGAGTAATTTACAACATTCAAACAGTGTGATAGCATTTTACGGTGTATCATGTGTTGATGGTAAAGATGTTTTGGTATTTGATTGGGCTGAATTAGGAACTTTAAAAGAAGTATATGAAAAAAATCCAGAGATCACTTGGAAGCAAAAACTTAAGATTGCTCATGATATATGTCTTGGACTTCAATTTATACATGAATGTCAACTTTTTCACTGTGATGTTAGATGTGAAAATATCTTGATCATGGGACCTGATATTGCAACACCAAAAATTACAAATTTTTTTCTAAGTAGGAAGCAGATGGATATGAGCAAAAAGATTCCATCATTAAATGATATCATGCCTTGGATGGCACCTGAAAAACTGGATCTCAAAGGAAGATATACGACCAAATGTGAAATTTATAGTTTTGGTATGCTTCTATGGGAGCTTGCATTTCAACAAGTTCCATATTTGAAAAGATTTAATAGCAATTATGAAGAAATTTCTCTACATGTCAAGAGTGGTCAGCGAGAATATTTAAATTTTGATAATAAAGATGAAATTCAGAGATGCTTTAATTATATAATTTCTAAAGGTAATGATTTATTATGATTTATTATATATATATATATATATATATTATATACAAACATTGATAATTAAAAAAAAAAAAAATTCACTAAATGATTGATCAAAATCATTTTTAATAGCTTGGCATAAAAAACTTGAGTCCCGTCCAAATATGCCAGATATTCTTAAAATATTGGAAAAGTTATACAAAAAACATTATTTTACAAGAAGCAAGTCATACTGTGAGAATACAACTTATGGCAGTCTTGATGATGATGATTTTGATTTTAATGTTACTAATGAATTCATCAAGAGTGATACTTGTGAACTTGATTTCAAAGAGATTGGAACATCAACAGTGGAGGATGCCATAAAACTTCACAAAGAACGTGCTGATGAATCAAGAAAGCAAGCATGGAAATACTTTGAATATCATTCAGATACTCTAAATAATTTTACAGCAAAATATTGGAAAGGGTATTATTTGTTGGAAGGACTTGGTGGAGTTAAAAAGGATCCAAAGATGGCAATGGAATTATTTAAAGAGGCAGCAGATAACGATGTTGCTAGTGCACAATTTCACTATGCATTTCTCATATCACAAAACGCTGATAATGACCTATCTTTAGTTGAAGAATGTATTACATATTTAGAAAAGGCCGCTGATAATGGAAATTTACCTGCATTGTTTAATCTAGGTAATATTTACTATAATGGTAAATGGAATATACAACAAGATATAGAAAGAGGTGTAAAATATTATAAAATGTCAGCCGTGAAAGATCATGATCCAGCAATTAAAAAACTTAAAGAATTAAAAATAAAAATATATGACTGAATATTTTGTTACTTATTATTTATTTATTATCTGTTTTATTTATATTATTTGTATAATTATTAAATAAATGATTATTAAAAATTCTGAATATTATGATTTACTTTTACTTTGTGCGGTAATTGTCATTTTCAATAATAATATAAATAATATCCTTCAAAAACATAATGATGATTTACCAAATTGAGAAATGGAAAATCAGCCCATATGGTTTGTAAAATGGTTTGCTTCAAATGCTACTCTAGAATAGATTTTGGGGGTAGGGTGTTTTGTGATACAAATTTCTGATTGGCTAATTTGAATTTCACGCAGATTTCAATAATTCTAATGATCTTGATAATGGTCATAAGCTTGAAGGTGGAGTATTAGTATTCACCAAAAATGAATCTAGCGGTAGAATTGAAAGAGGGAACACTATATATTTTCAAAGTAAAAAGCTGCTATATGGTAATTTTATTGCAAGAAGAATAAAATATTCACTAGTTTTCATTAATTATAAAAGTAGCCTTGAGAAAAGAAAAATATTTTTTTTATGTATACTTTAAAATTATTATCTAACATAAGTTTTTAGTATAAAAATTGACCTCCAGAGAGAGAATTGATTGAAAATTTTGCTAATTGAACGTTAACCAAAAATTATGTTGTTACTTTACTTATATTCTTGATTTATTAATTTACAAATTATATTAAAATATATCAAACTATACATCACTCTTCATTAACAATTTACATCCAGATGATAACCTTTTATTTCATAAATTATATCAATAAAAACTAAAAACCAAGTCACTTACATTCCAAACATATGCACCGAAGGGAAAGCATCAATTGTAAAACTGGTTTGTCCATATGTCGATAAATTATATATGCCAAAAACTGTTAAACAAGATTCCTTATCAATCGGAGTAATTAAAGCTGAGTCTCGAGCTGAAGTAAAAATTATTTGAAGAAGCAAAGTGACCTCTCCTCGGTAAGTTTGTGGTCATATATATATATAGCCTTTCCCAATCTCCCACAATTACTAAAGTGTAAGACTGGAGTACTATAACCCTGCATGCAACTCTAAACTCTCTCTATACAACCACATACCTCGCTTACCTGATGCAGTAACATTTCCCCAATCCTCAAATTCTGCTACGATGACATTCATTTCATATAATTAAAAAAATTTAATCAGAAGTTTTTTATAACCCTCCATAAAATTACGTAAAAAATTTCTAGATGTAAGAAACCCAAGTTTTGAGGGTTGTAATGCTTAACCATGCTAACATGACGAGTATGAGAATCCTTAGAACCGAATGACTCCAAATCTGTTAACTTCAAAAGTTTTAAACAGATTTTCTTTGAAGAACATATACTTCATTTATCTCAAAGTGGAACTGATCAATATTTTCATTAAAGCTCCGAACGGCTTGGATTAATCCGAAATTTTTCTGCTTTTAAAAAGCTAATCCAAAACATAAAAATAATGCTGCTACTTTAATAATTATATATAATACATTTTTAAAATAACAACTTTTACTTAGTATGTACTTATGATGTGTAGATATGCGCAGAAAATCAAATCACGTCACGTCACGTCTGAGTGCAGTTATTATCCGAGTTAATTTTGATCCACGCAGTTTTTTTTTTGTTAATTAAATATGAAGTTTGTAAAGTGCTAAACGATTGAATTATTAAACCAAATATACTACTATTACTAGTACTAAGTTTCTTTGTTTTTATTATACGAGATTAAAGTGTATAAATTTTGACATCTTAAATTAGTAGGCAACATTGGTTTTGCAACAACTTTCTTGTTGTCAACGCGTAAAACAGATATATTAATATCCATGCCAACGTAATTTTTTTCCAATAAAATTTAAAAAGTCGGTTCAATTTATTTTCATAATTTTTTTTAGTAGAAATTAATGTAGCTTTGTGCTTAAAGCGCTATTCCGTGATTAAGTCGCTGAATCGCGATTACACAAGAGTGCGAATTCGTGATCAAAGCATAAAACATTGTGGAAAGTACAATATCATAATTAAAGACAGGGTTAATGATTAAAGTGCCAGATCGTGATAAAAGCACTACTAATTAAATCGTATATATAAGGAGCTTGAATTCTATGTACCTGAAAAATAACTTTGTAATAAGTTTAATAATAATAATAATAAATTAGTTTGACTAAATAAAATAAATAAAACATTTCAAATCGCTAAACAAAATTATTCGTTAATAAACTATTTGTTGGTAATAGCCAATTCAATCTGATCCACATAATTAAATTTTGTTATCATCAATTAAATATGCTCTCCCAAACATAATTGGTGACAATAACAAAGCAAATATAATAGCAACTAACTCGTCAAATTATAAGTTTACTACTACAAAGGCGTTTGAAATTGTCCTAATAATAATTTTTGATGTAGAAAAATTTTCAAAAAGATTTGTCTGCCGATTATTATTATGTATTAGTATAATAATTACTAATCCTAATCACTATTGATCAATTTGCAATACACAGTGAGTCTTGATTTAGCAGACCTCGATTTAAAGCAATTTTTCCTAATATATACTACCATAAAGTCTCGAAAGATAGCATCCCTTTTTACAACTGTTATATTTTAAGTAGGGTAATATTCCGGAAATTGAAAAACAATTATTTATATTATTATTATTATTATCATTATTATAATTAATATTAAAAAATACAAATTTTATAAAAAATTTTCCATGAACAATCTATGTTAAAAATGAAGATTTTTTTTTTTTTGGAAAATATATTTCGAGGAAATTTTTTATTGGTTGAACTAATTGATCTATTACTATGGATTGTTTGATAATGACGATCCGTCTAAACGATCTGTCTAAATTAATTGGTCTATTTAGTAATGATGATAGTCAAAACTAATTGGTCCATCATTTAGTAATGGCGATTCGCCTAAACTAATTGGATTGTTTGGTAATTACGATATGCTCAAACTTGGTATAATTGAGGTATCTGAGCTGGTGCGTGAATTTTTTATTGAATTGGAGACAGATGAAAAATGAGTACCCAAATCCACCTCATTATTAACTTCATTGAACTGACATTTTAAAGCCAGTGGTTCAAGATCGGATGAAAGATATTTATGTGCGGTATTAGACATTTTTTCTAATACTGAGCTGGAAGAATTGCTGCTAAACAAAACTGTGTAGAGATACAATGGTGACCTATTAAAATGAGCAGTAAAAATAATTGTTATTATTACGTTAACTTACAGATGAACAATATGAGTTGAATTTTATACCCTCTTTATTTATTATATTTACAGATACGTCCTAATTCGGCATCTGGTGATTTACATTGACCATCGGACAAAAACACAATGACGTTCGTCCTATAATATTAAAATTGTGGCCAGTTAAATAAGTTGTATAATAATAATACAAATGATTTTGAATCTATTGAAAACAGTGTCTGAAATTGAGTGCGGGGGTTTGTGTGACATATTGAATTTAGCCAATCAAATTTGTCCTTCTGGTAGAAAATTTAACGTTGATTGGCTAAATTCAATATGTAACACAAACCCCGCACTCAATTTCAGACACTGATTGAAAAGACATTGATTTGATTTTACTTTTTTGGATTATAATGTTTCTCAATCAAAGATCCTGCTTCCCGTATTGCCAAATCAAATCTAGTTCCGCCATTTGCTCCATACTTAATCATAGTGTCTAAAGCATTGTTTGCATCATTGAGTGGTTGATTTTCAATTGGTACAACAGTTTCGTGGTTGAATAAGATTAAAGAGATGGTGTCATTGTCAACAGCATCCTGGTTTTGGTTTTCTTTATGCTCTTCCATGAATAAGTAGACCTTTATTTATGATCAGTTATAAAAAGATAAGTTACAAAAAATATTGCTAAAAATGGATAAACAACATTAGATAATTACTGCAGAGTATACTGCGCCTATCCTATTATTGTGACTGTGCGATTTTTTGACTGATGTTTGAATGAATGTTTTCTAATGGCTTTCTATCAGTGCCTCTCATTGAACCTGATCTATCAAGCACAAATATAATGTGAAATGCATCACAACCAAACCGATCACTGTCTAGCACAATGTCACTAACATTACATGTAGCTGCTGATAAATTTTCTGTTAAATCTGGATATTGATGGCCAGTTCCTTTATAAAATGATTCATGAAGTCTTTCCATCCCACTAGTAATTTCAAAAGTGGGTAGTTTTGAATCAGTCTTGGAAACTTTTGCAGTTAATAGATTATCCATGTTTGTTATTATGTCAATAGAATTTGGAACATCATAAATAACTCGAGATGGATCATTGATATCAACTTCATCTAAAAGGACTATAACTTGTGACATCTCTGGACGTTCGATAGGATTAGCTTGCCAACATGCTAATAAATGTATGAAATTACAAATGAACAGATAATTCAATCGATTTAATAATAAAAAGGAAAAAATCCATTGATTATATACCCGTATAGATGTCAACATAAGATTTGGGTGTTCCGGGACTATGCTTTCTCTGTTACCATTAATAATTTTACTAGAAAGAACAAATATTGCGCCGGAGCTTTGGTATGGTAGTCTTCCGCTGGATATTTCCCACATGAGCATACCCACACTATAAACATCTGACGCTTCTGTTCGTGTGTAGTTTCCAGGATCATGTAAAAATCCAGGATCGGGATATCTCATGGAACCATATGTTTTGGAAAATGATGATACAGCATCAACAATCATTGATTTTGATAATCAAAAATCACAAGTCTGATATTATCTGAATGAATGAAAATGTTTTCTGAATGCTTTTCATTGTCATAAATATTAATATAAGAACATAAAATAATTAATGTGTTTGTATTTTGCAGGGAAAATTTTAACTAAAAAATTTACCAGATCTCTATGAATTATATTATTTGCATGAGATTTGTTTTGCAAACTTTAACTTCAAACCCCAATCCATTTTGTTAAAATTTATAGATAAATATTGACGTAAAGTTCCACCATCAGCATACTCCATAACTAACATGTGTTCATCTAAAAAATAAAATTTAAATCAAAAATACACATCTATATTAATTTTAAATCAAAATAAAAATATCATGATGCTTTATGTTAGTTAACTTTGGGTTAATTGGAGAGGGTTATTTGTAAGATGATTCTGCAATTAATTTCAAATCAGTTGCAGGCACAAACTTTGATTGTGTGTGGAAATTTCAATATTTAAATAAAAAAACATGGTCACGAGACTTCAATTCAGCAAAGAAAAAATGTATAAATACCATTTTCTGTTGTTACACCATAAAAGCCTATAATATTATCATGCATTTCAACTTGCCGATGTTGTTGAAGCTAAACAAGTAAAAGATATAAAATATTTTTAAGATAAGGATATATAACTTGAAATCAATTAATTTTAAAATTAGATAACTCTACCTCATTTATAATTTGCCCAAATATTTTCTTAGAAGTAACATTATCTCTGACTTGAATTGATTTTAAAACCATATATTTTGCATATTGACTATTGTATGCACGATAGACAATTCCAAAGGAACCACTACCAATTTTCCCAATGTCACTAAACAATTCGTACTTATGAAGCTTCATATGATTTTTAGATATCGCCTCATCAATCCATTCAGAAAATTCATTCTTTTCTTTTTCCTTCTATCAAAATATTAAATTGGATAAATTATATAAAAGGGACATTAGAACAATTTTTATAATTTCCAATAATCGTATATTGAGATAGAATAAGATCTATAGATATGATGGGGTTTACCTTTGGATGTTTTTTAGGTATTGGAAGAGGTCATTGTTGTAGTTGTTGTGAATGAGATCTATTTGTAACTTTTGCAATATCACTATTATTGTTTTTCAAGGCTTCATTGAAAAAAATTATATATATATTTCTTTATTATTTAAAATAACTAATAAGAAGTGATAATTAATATAGAGTTAATCGAATTAATGAATCAAATTAAATCACCTGTTAAAAGATTCTGAAAAACAAGCTCTACATTGCTAGTATCCAAAGCTGATGTTTCAATGAATAATAAATTGTTTTCATCTATTTATAATGACAATGATAAAAACGAATTTATTTTATGTATTACTGTTGTCATTATTATAACAGACATCATCATAACCATTAATTATTTAAGATGCACAAACCAGCAAATTGCTTAGCTTCTTGAGTTGAAACAGCTCTAAGGTTTTTTAAATCAGTTTTATTTCCAACAAGCATGATTACAATATCGCTAGCAGCATAATCCCTTATTTCTCCTAGCCAACGATTAACACTTTCATATGTCACATGTTTAGTAATATCATAAACGAGTAAAGCGCCTACTGCACCATAATAGCTACAATTATCGAGTTGAGAATGGAAAATAAAAATTATAATTTAATTTGAACATAACTACAATAATAACGATAATTCCTACATACAAATTTATAGTTGTAGTTGTTCCATGATGTGGACCTAATTAGTTAATTAGTTGATTGATTAATTACTTAATAATATTGACACAATCTTGAATAATGAATAGGAACCTTTATCCCAAATCTGTGCTTCAATTGTTTTATTGTCCACTTGGATGCTCCTAATGGCTGATTCGACACCGATGTTAGACTTTGAATTCAAATTAAATTTATGTGTAAATCGAGAAAAGATATTGGATTTGCCAACACCAGAGTCACCAGTTAAAACAATTAATTAAACATGTTTATTAAAAATTAATTGATTATTGATAACTTCTATTTTGATCAAGTTTTTGCTTATACAAGTTTTCTTGTGCCATTACAAATAAAAAAACAGATATCATCGCCTCTAAATGCACTCTTAATTTACAAACCTTTAAAAAGATGTTCATCGTCAAGTTTGCTCATCTTTGGAGCAATTGTCAAGAAATTGAAAAAACCATTGTTATTACTGTATATATACAAATATTTACACACGATAATAATAACAAATTGGGACAAAAAAATTCGAGTGACGATCTCTGTCAAATATGTTACAGTCAGGGTCTTTCCAAATACTGTAATGATCGACGATCTAAAAGTGTAACGATAATATTTGTTATAACTTGTCGAATGAGCAAGCAAGCAATGATAATAATAAATATCCATTATCTTTCGCTGTATTTGATTTAACCGAAGATCTGAAGTTATAAAAAAATCATAATTGATATTTTATTTACAATTTAGGATGGACGGATTGAAAGGAAACTTACTAATTTTAAGAAAGTATCAAAAAACACAATAACATAAGAAATAAACAACGACTATAGTTTTAATGATAAAAGATATCGTCAAAGAAGTATTAGGTTCAACTAATTCTTAATGTTTATCGCCCATATCGTATCACCACCATGAGGTTGGTATATCCATCATCTTTAAATAATTTTTTTTAGAACATTATTAACAATATAACAATTTCGTATTGCAATAGCGAGATTTTGAATCAAACTTTGTATTTCATTTTAGTTGGATGATGGTCCATAATGTAATACAGCTAATTCATAGTATACTAGATCGTTTGGTTTCTGCTTGCCAAACTATTGACGATATCAGATAATAATTGTGTGTCTCTATTTTATAGTCGGTGCTGTTTGAGGTATTATTTGATCTAATCATATTTATTATTTGTTCCTTCATTTTGTTAGTGTTTCTTGAGCGTTTCTCGTTATTAATAATTTCTTCTAATTGCGCTACCGTTGCCTCCAAACCCTCTATTTTCTTGTCTGTCATAGTCTTTACTGATTCTTCGTTCTGTAACCATATCCGCTCCTAATAAATTATTCAGACCCTGATTGACCCAACTATCATCTATCCTTTCATACAACATGCATATCTTCTAAAAACGACAACAATTTTGTCATCATCGATTCGATTATTGTTGCTTGTAATATATATTTGAGATCACCATTTCCCTTAATAAATAATTCCGACAATATTAATTTTGTACTTTTGTTTTTTTATATTCTTCCACATAAACTTAGAATCCAACAATGTGTTTATTGATACTGTATTTATATTAATAATATATCTTTTGCTCAAATTTATTTTTGCCTGCGTGATTAACTTGGATTCGGATGAGGATTTTGGGGATGGACAACAACGATAATAGTAATAAACTTGATACCAAATTTCGTCTAATTACGCAGATGGGAAAAATAAAATTCCAATAAAAAGTAAAACCTATTAGAAAAAGTTTAATGTAACAACAGTACATGAATCTCGAGTATTAAAGGCAAGAGTCTGGTTATCTTAATAGTAATTATTTATTAATGTAGTACATGCGACAAAAAATCAAAATTTTAAAAAGGGTCTTTAAAAAAATTACTCACTAACCGTTATGGGTAACTATAAATGTTTGGTTTTGAAAGATAAAGCCATGTCGATCCATCAATTACAATGTATTCATTCATTTGCATCATGGCGTCGGGGGAATGGGCAAAAAATTTTCTTTTATTCTATTTTGGGTTTTCAGCTCTTCGCCTAAAAAAGTCAATTTTTTATTTTAATTGAAAGAAAAAACAATTTAGGGTTTTCAACAATTGAAAGTTACACAAAAAGTTCAGCTTTAGAATTCATACAATTAAACTTGAAAATACTAGTTAGTAATGAGGAGGAATAAATTTTTTTTTTGAATGACGTAATTTTTTATTTATAAAGTAAATCATTATGAGGTAAATTGGAAAATGAAAACTTACCACGGGTACACATTAAAACCCATTCTTTATTTTGATGGGTAGAAATATGACTATCTTTATATTAAAAAGGGAGTTTTAGTGTACCCCTGGGTGGCGTGGTAAGGGTCACCTCGGAAAGTAGCCGGTTTCCCAAAAATTCCGAAATTTTATAATCATATTAATAGTAAATCAATCAGTATTAGTCTTTTTTTCTCAAATTTGATAGTGTATAGGGCGCAGTCAAATTTAATGCATGTTTGTTTATGTTTCATCAAATATATATTTTTTCAATTTTCTCTCATCTCCCAAAAAAAAAATTATTATATATAAAAAAAAAAATTTAAATGCATAGACCTTTTTTAAAAAGTTATAATTCTAATTATAGTTCTAGTTCGTCGTCCATAAATTCAACTTGGTCTACCACTTCTTCCGCTTCTTCCATCACTTCCGCTTCTTCAACTGCCTCTTCGAAAAGCTCAAGGAGAGAAAAAATCAACCGATTTGGTTATTGTAAAAGTTGCAATCAACCAAATACACATTGCGATTGGTGCCAACCTTGTAATTCGTCAAGATTTAAGAAGGACTTTGATAAATGGTCAAGTGGTAACGCAGCAATTGATGATTTTATCAAAAATGCTCAATCAAATGCCACAAATCATCATCAAGTATTAGAATGGATACCATACGATCAATTCGAGGGATTTAGATTCGTTGCTAGAGGTGGTTTTGCTTCGGTTTATTCGGCAATTTGGAAACAAGGATTTATTATAAAATGGGCTGACGAAAAAAATCAATGGGAGAGGTGTGGAGATAAAGGAAGAAAATGGAAAGTAGCATTAAAAATTTTGGATAATTCATCTGATCTCTCTTTTGATTTTTTTCAAGAGGTAATGAATTATTATTATTAGTGCGTTAACACGATAAAAAAAAAATAAAAAATAAAATTTTATGTTTTTTATTTTTAGATTAAAGCATGTGTAGAATGTGGAGGTGGATTTGGTTTGATTAGATGTTATGGAATTTCACAAGATCCAAAATCTAAAAATTATATAATAGTATTATATTTTGCACATCGTGGCAGTTTAAGAAATTATTTGGATAAACATTATAATGAGTTGAATTGGGTGAAGAAAATCGGAATTTTGAAACAGGTAGCAGAAGGTCTAAATAAAATACATAATGCAGGATATGTTCACAGAGACTTTCATAGTGGCAACATATTACAAAGTAACTGTACAGAAATAGCCGATCTAGGGTTTTCCGGTCCGGCAAATAAACTTTCGTCATCACAGAAAAAAGAAGTTTATGGTGTGCTGCCTTATGTGGCACCTGAAGTATTAACTGGCAAAGGTTATACATTCAAGTCGGACATATATAGTTTTGCTATAATAATGTGGGATGTGCTTATGTGTCAGTTGCCATTTGATGACAGAGCTCACGATGCTGTTTTAGCAGTGGATATAATTAAAGGATTAAGACCGAGTATACCTGATGATACGCCCGATGCTTTTGTCAAGTTAATCGAGAAATGTTGGAATCCAGATCCTAAACAAAGACCAAATTCACATGAAATATACCAGGAATTACAAAAATGGTATTGGGATATAAAGGATGGTGTTGAGAACGAAGTTTCTCTTCAGTTCAAGTCTGCCGATGAAAGAAATGTTCAAAGATCAATATCGTCATCTACTTATAGACCTATTACAGAATCACATCCTTTAGCCATTTATACAAGTCGATTGCTAAGTTTTCCTAATTTATCTAGACCAGTAAGACTTCCATCCAGCAGAAGTAATTCAAATAAAGGTAATTACTAAAAAAAATTTTTTTTTGAATTTCAAGGAAAATATTTATATTAAAGCAGAATCTTTTCTTTTTATAATAATATAATTTATAGCTTATAAAACTGAAAAAATAGGTAAAAAAAAAAATGAAAAGAAAAATTATATATATTATTCGTTCCTTTTACTTTATTGATTAAACTTTTTTTTTTGAATTATTTTTAATAGATTATGTTACACGTGCGTTTGAAGACGAGCTTGTATATGGTAATTATTGTAATAAAACCTCTTTTGTGAGGAGAAAATAAATATATGTTACAAACCATTTCTAACAACACCTCTTTCTTATTTTTTCAAGAACCTGAAAGTAATTTAAGTACAAGACGAATAGATCTAGAAGAGATATCAGAAGAGATATTATCTGAAGGTATTAATTAATTGGTTAATAATAGAAATTAACTAATAAATAATAAATGATAAATGATAATATTTTTTTTCTTAGTGACTTTTGAACCAGAAATAATTGAAGAAGAGTATGTTACAAGACAATATGATATTGACCTTGTTTGAGAAGGTAATTGTAATAATTATAATGAATATTATTCAATAAATTGATAATTAATAAAAATTTTGTTTTTTAGAATAAAGAAAATTTTCCATTAATCCTTCCACTACTTGATATTCATGATAATAGCAACGACAATAACAATAATTGTTGTTTTCCATAATTTAAAATTTTATTTATTATTTTGTTTTATTATTATAATTAATCTTTAATTTGTGTATTATTATTTGTGTATTATTATTATCGCTACTATATTGTTTATAGAGAAGAAAAACTTTTTTATTATAGTTTTTCTTCAACCATATTTAAATCATATTTTAAAATAGAATACAAGTAATATAATTACCATTATTTACCATCACTCATTCATCATTCATTATAATTATTATTATTATTATTATGGATCTTCATATCCGATGGGTGGATTTCTTGGTCCTTTAGGAACTAAAAAAAAATTAAAAAAATTAAAAAATTAAAATTAAAAAAAATCCACCATTGATTGATTATTGATCAATTTGTTGATTTGTTGATTTATAATATTTTTACTGATCAATTCTTCTTGGATTTTAAACTTACTTGGATAAGTTGTTGGAAAAGGTAAAGGAGGTTCATAACCAAAATATTTTCTACGTATATCTGGGATTACTAGCACACCGATTGGACCTATAAAACCAATAGCAAGACTCCAAAAATATGCTGGTCTTTCTTCAGCTGATTTTTTCTAATCACAATAATAATAATGGATTTTTTGAATTTTGAATTTTGCTTTTTATTATTCTCATTCAATAATGTTAATGTTAATGTTGAATTGAATTGTACTATTTACCAAAAAATTTATTTGTCTTGAAAAAAAAGATGCCATTAATTTATTTTTAATTAAAAATATACAAAAGAAAAAATTTCACACCTTTTATTCTTGCGTCGTGTTACGTGTAACATACACGCATGATTCAAAATTCCAAATTTTAATTTTTAAAAAAAAAAATGTCAACTTTTAAATTTCCTTCGATACATAATTTTCCACCTTTTTACACGTAAGTTGAAGGTTGGTGTTTTGTTATAAAATATAAACATAAATATATAAATGCACATGTACGTTTTAGGAGCTTGTCAAAGAAGAAAAATTGATTAATTTAAACTTCTCTTTCATTCCTTTTAAATACATGCATAGTTTACAACCAACTCAAACAACATGGCAACATCAAGTATCACTTTGGTCTGAAATAATTTTAGCATATTGTAAACATCATAAATTATATCGTCTTGAATTATATGAATCTTTGAATAATGAATTATTTAATAATCAAAGTATTAAACGTAAGCAATGAAAAAATTAAATTCTCTTTGGAGAAAGAAACTAAACTGTTGATTATATTAATTAATCCCTTCTTTTTGCTGTTGTTGTTGTTGTTGTTAATAGGCAGATTGAAAATTGAAACTTTACAAGCAATCATTGATACAATGGTTAAACAAGGTTAATACTATAACAATAATAATAATAATGTACTTAATGTTATTATAGTAATAATGAGAAATGGTTTGATTGGTAATTAAAACAGGTGATGCAGAATGGGATCAATCATCTAAAAAAACAGTTGCGCTAATTTATTGGAGAAAACCTGAAGAATGGGCAACATTAATTAATAATTGGGTTGGTGAACACTGTTATGTCCATTTATAAAAATATAAATTCTTTCATAATTCATATATATATATATGCAAATCAATGATTTTCTTTAGGTTTTTGAAACTGGGATGACGAATTCTATACTAACGATATATGAGATTGCACATGGGGACACTACTGAAGGATTAGGTAAAAATGAAATAGCTAAATAACCTAAATATCATTCATCATCATCATCATCATCATCGTCATCGTAACATAGATATTTATATATTAAAGAATTCCATGAATTAGATCAATCAATACTATTGAAAGCATTAGAATTATTGGTAAAAAAAGGTTCGGCTCAAATATTTCAAGGGACAAATGCTGAAGATATGGGTGTTAAATTTTTTGGAACTGGTGGATAATCAATCATCCATATATATATATACATATACATATAATAGAATAGGATGAAGAAGACGAAGAAAAAGATAAGGATAATCAACAGTACGGAACTTTTTTTTTTATAATTGTGATTTATATTACTGTTATTATCAATTATCAAATTAATTATTAATTATGTAATGAGTTTTTTTGATTAGCATTTACACAAATTTCTTAAATTTATTATTATTCTCAATCTATATAATTTTTTATACCTTTATACATATATTTATAATTTAAAAATTCTTTTTAGAAAATATTTACAAAAAAAAAAGATTATAAAATTTTTTTTAAAAAATAAAAAAAAAAGATTTATATATATATAACTTGCTATTTATAATACTGCTATCATTGTTACCATCATTACTGCCATTACTATTGATTATTAATACTATTATAACTGCCATTACTATTAATTATTAATACTGCTATTATTGTAATTGTTAAACATAATTAATATTAATTTAATTTAATTGTTTTTAATTATTATAGTTTTTAAAATGAAAAAAATTGATATGAAAAAAATAATGATTTGATGATCCTAATTTCTGAACCTTTTTTTTTTAAAAAAAAAAGAAAAGGTAAGAAAGAATTAATGATAAATAATATCTATATTAAAAAAAAATTGCTTAATTATACTATATAATATACATATACATATGTACGTATATGTATATATGTTTGTGTGTGTCTTTGTGTGTGTGTATATATAAATAAATTAAAAAAAAAAAAGGAAAAATTAAAATGTACACGTTTGTGAGAAAATTTTAAAGTTTTATACATGAAAAAAAAAAAAGATGAAGGAAGAAAAAGATATTTATGATGTGTGTGTGATGTATAATTTAATTAATTAATTTTTAAAAATAAAAAAAATAATCATAAAAATATATATGAGGATGGTGATTATAAAATAAAAAAGGGATTAAAAAAAAATCATGCCATATATCAATACTATACAAAATCTATATATAATAATAAAAAGGAAAAAAAAACTTGTATGATAATTTTCCTTAATTTAAATTTTGAAATCGCGCCCTAATTTTTTTTTGGTTTTAATCTTGTTATTGTTTTTATGTTGGTGATTTTTTTAAAAAAATTGTTATTATTATTATTATTATTGTAATTATGTGGTCTCTAATTCTAATTTTTCTCGATTTGTTATGAAATCTAAATATATTGTTATTATTATTATTTGTGTTCTCTAATTTTAAATTGTGCTCTATCCGTTAATGAAATCTAAAAATTAAAGTTAATATTAATATTAATATTAATATTATTGTTATTATTATCATTAATCATTAATAATAACAGGACTTAATTTGGACTACTTACAGCGGGATAAACCTTTGATGGAATATTGGTAAAAGCAATACCAAAATAATCGCCGTCAATAGAAAAGGCCAAAGTTCTTTTGTTCATGTCCAGATGAACAGTGATTTTTGATAGATCATCAAAAGGTTCTCCATAATAATAACTTTCCCCGTCATGATAAATGGTACCATCCGATCCAAAAACCCAACCGTGTTTCTGATTACCAAGGAATTGTAAATGATCAATATCTGTGCTGCAAACACCAATGTAAACTGTCTGTTCAAATGACTCTTCCACAATTATATCCCATTTGTGGTAACCATTTTTAAAACCTTGAGTTGTTTTAAATACTAAATGTGATTGATTTTTAGAAATAATCAAGGTGTCATTATCACCGGTATGACGTATAAATGGTTCATATTGCTTATTTCTATCCCATCTTAATGGTGGTGCAAGACCTCGAGTTGTGTTTTTGGGCATTTTTCTTGTTGAGTGATAGCGATATGCCTGATATAAAATATTTGATGGGATTATATCTAATGGCTCAATCACATTCACCAAAACGTCCGGATCAAATAATCTAAAATCAATGAATGGTAGAGTAGATGATATAATATCAATAATAGCAGTTCTCAATGATTCTTTAATTTGATGTTTATTTGATTCTTTAATAGCAAGATCGTCATCTTCGTTGTCATTATCATCAACGTCACTGCCATTACCTTGGTAATAATTCTGATGATCACGATGACGACGGCGACTATGTTTTTTTTCTTTCCCTGTATTAGAATCATATACGAAACAACCATTATAATGATCATAATCATAATAGCAATCATCATCGTAATCATCATCCTCTTCCTCTTCATCCTCATCTTCTTCATCTTCTTCATCTTCTTCATCATCCTCTTCATATTCATTTTTTCCTCCACTAATATTAAAACTCCCACCAGCCAAAATTGATTCGGCAGAAGGTAATAAAAACTGGAAAAGAGTCACGGCATTACGTGATACTTGATTTGCGCCCCATAAAACCAAGTATCGGAATACTCCATACTCTGAAGTAGCAAAGTATTCATCCTTCATTTCTAATGAATGAGACAACAAAACTTGTAATGATTGGCCGGAAAACGTGTTGTAACTAACGTAGTCCAATGGTGTTGAAGCAACTAGATGAAATAATCTTTTGAACAATTCATTGTGTGTTAATGGACCCATAATCTCGACAAATTTTGTATAAAGTCTTGTAATCGAGTCGTGTTTACTTTCGTCGTGACAGTTCTCTATATAAATCATCACATAATCTTGTAAATCTGGTAACATGAAATAATCAGATGCATGGAATACTTCAATTGCGTTTTTTCCAGTCAAGGTTTTTTCTCCTATGCTACCGGTATATAAGAACTCTAGAACTACTTGCATTGCTTTAGAGTTTATTTTTGGTAAATAAATTTCATTTTGTGTAGATTCTTTCATTCCGTTGTATAACATTCTATCGAGTACTTCTGAACGAGCTGCCAATATTACTCTAGACGCGTGAAGAACTATACCATCTTCACAGTTTATTTCGATATCACTATAACGAGGATTATTGATCAAACATTTAAGGTCTTGAGCTAGTGAACTCCCTCTCTGCATATTGATATATAAAAATATAACGACAATGATAGAATATAGACTATTTATTAAAAGTTTTTTTTGGATCTCAAAAAATTTGGTAAAGAACTATTTATGAATAAATTTTTTTTAAAAAAATAGAATGAAACAAGAATATATCAAGTTAATTTTGGTTAACCATTACAGTTCAAAAAATGTTAATTTGGAAAAGACATTCATTCTTTCAATGAATTGTACGCCATAGGAAAATAAAATAATATTTATATATACACACTCATTATAACATCATCTACATGACAAATATACAAATATATATAAATAAACATCCACAAATTCTTAATTTTTCTTGTTCATAAAAAAAAAAAGACAATGAACTATGCAATTATTCTTTTTTTTTCTTTTAATTAAATTAATTCTTGGAACATCTAAAAATTATAATCATAAGATTTTTAGATTTTTAGGTTAATTTTCAAAATTAAATATATATTTATAAAGTTTGTTTATTTAATGAATGAACATAATTTTTAATTTCTTCTCTCTTAATGATAATGATAACATTGTAAAAAAATTTTTTTTTAATAATACAATACTTCATTATTCTTCTATCCAAAATCTTATTTATTATTATTATGGCGTAAATAAAAAGAATTAATTAATAATGATGATGATACTGGTTAATTTATTTAGTAAAGATTATCTCCAAAAAAAGGAAAGAACATTTAGAAAAGCCTTCATCAATCATAATCTTTAGGTGATTTAAAGACCTAATAGCTATAAAAAATTAATTAGTCAATAGATTTGATGATAGTTTATTTCTTACATTCATAACATACTTACCACCGGTCACCACGTCCAAGTAGGCTGACTATAAGCAATAATTGTTCACGACAGATTGCCAAAGTGCCATTGCTTTCTATATCAAGAATCAAAGGACTAGCTAGACCTAATATGATGAATTCTGAGAATTCTTCTGGTGAACATTTTGATAATGCGAGATATTTGGCATTTCCATTGGAGGTTTTACGAAATAAAAATTTTAAAAAGAAGACTTGCACTTTAGGATCTTGCATACGTTGACAGTAAAGACCAATTTGTTTAATCCCAAATGTTTTGACCTTTCTCACAAGCTTCGCGCACATACCCTGGTTTGTTAACTCCTTGAAATCCGGGTTATGCATTACCAAACAAAGATTTTATCATGGTGTCCTTGGAGAAACATTCTTCTTTTTTTCCACTATTATCCATATTCATCTTTCAATTTAAATTTTTATTTTTTAATGCAAGAATAATAATAATTCAAAAAAGGATATATATATAGATCATCACCAGTTATTCAAAATTAAATAAGATCAACCAGATCATCATCATCTTAAACCATACCCAATAGAAAAGCTTCTCTTATATTGTTGTGCCAGATGCAGATAAGTAAATTTCTATTTCTAACTTTGAAGTGAGCTACTTTGTTGATTTTTTAATCCAATTAATAAAGCAACAGGACTTTTTTTCGAAATTTTCCAAGATCTAGATATCAGGAAAATCTATTTAATTCTGGGCGCACCCTGTTCAATCGTATTTTGAATCTTTTGGAAGTGTAGCTCAATATTTAAATTAGGAATCCTTTGTCTTTGTACAAGAAGCAAGATAGTAATTTAGTTTTATTACGAAATGATTATCTTTTATTTTTTACATTAGGCAAACAATTATTTTTAGGTAATCACTCTTGAATTTCAACGTTTATATTCGAACGATTATCTAGATTTATTTCATTACCATCAATTGAATTTTAACAATCCAGATAATTTGAATTCAATAGGATTAATTGATAAGTAATGTTGTAGCCAAAGTCGATTGTTAATCATAATCTTTAGATGTATCGTATGGCATTGTTTAAACTATTATTAACAAATCTTGAAGACAGTAATAATGGGAATTTTGATGTACAAAAAAATTGTGATGTTTATTTCTCTTGAGATTTCATGGATGTAATATAATAAAAAGTATATATATATATATACAGCATACGGGAATATTTTAATCCTAATCTGAAAATCATTCTTTTAACATACGAACTTTTTATTCCTCTTCTTAAGTTTCATAAGTATTATTATCATTATAAAATAATAACAATAAGGTTCATGTTATATGATCGTAAATTGTCAACCTTTCTTGTAAATAAATCCAACGCAAAATCAAATTAAAATTGTATCTTTTCCTATATTATATAGGCCCATGTTTATATTTTTTTTTTTGGATACCAAATAATTTCATCATATAACTTATTGTCAAAAAGGTTTGATTTTATCGTAAAAGCCGGTTAATAAAGAAATTTCATCAAACCTAATTAATAGAATGAATGATATTTTTCAATGTGATTTTCAACTCTTTGAAATCACTGCGAAATGACTTTACGTTTTATCCTACAATCTTCAGATCTTTCGTTCCAATTATCGGACAATACAACGTTAAAGTACAAAGAGACCTTGCTTTAATCAGCCTTAAAAATTTTTACATCATCACCCTCTTCCCTAACTTTCATTTCGACATCAGAGTGGTAGAATAACAGTATTTGTAACAGGAGAAAATATTTGTTTCGATGATTTTGGACGATAAAATGTTCCAACCTTCGATAAGAACACGCTACATATCAGCCGATTTGGTTTTTTGGGTCTTTTTTTCAAAACTTATGTCTTATTGTGTCTCGATGTTAAACACGAGTATTTTTAATGTGTAAACTGGTCGGTAGAATGATAATTACCC